TGTGTGTGTGTGTGTGTGTGTGTGTGTGTGTGTGTGTGTGTGTGTGTGCACGTGTGTGTGTGTGTGCGTGTATGTATACAGTAATTATACATACATTACAATAATTATTATTTTCGTATTGCTTATAAAGAAAAATATAATTTGTAAACTAATCCTCACATCTCTTGAGATTGATTTGTCCGTAGAACATGAATCCCTTTTATTTTTATTTGTGCGTATTGCTAGGCGCTGCATTATTTAATTCTAAATAATATTATTATTCAAAATTTCGTAAGTTACTTTAAGATTTTATTTTATACACTTAAAACTATCGGTTAATAAAAAAAATTATTTCATTATTTGAAGCCTGCGAAGCAGATAGCCGCCTTAAGATGGAAAATTTATGTAGATTTTTTTATTACGAAAATTTACGTGAAACTTTTATAAAAATTACATCATATCTTTCTATAACTCATTATGTGTGACACATTCACTAAAATTAATAAGAGAAATAAAACATGTAATGTAAAGTGTTAGGATAAATAAGATGAAAAGTAAGTACCACTTGGAATATAAGTAGTTCTTAATAATCAATGTAATAATGATAGTATTTTGGTTACACCTTGTAATATATTTATGAATATTAATTCATAAATAATAATATTACAAAAGTATACGTGATGACTTAATTTATATTAAATACAAATATAGCTTTGATACATTTCAAATTAAATAATTGTGGAAAGTGTATGATGGGTAAAAAGAGATAAAGTGTGTTTAGACACATAATAAATATTTTCTAACAAACAACAGAAACACTTAAGCAAACTACGATCGGAATCTGTCAATTTCATACTTCAAGCTCTTAAGAAAATATTTTAAAAAGTGTTACGTGCGAGGCCTCGCATGGCTGTCGTAAAAACAGGCATTCGTGTTATTACAATTGCCCAGCGCAGTATATAATCGGTGTACACGCACTACCCGGCATCAATCTACGAAGTTGCGTCGAAGATGAAGATTCCAGCAATACTCGTAACGTCTCTCCTCGTTTGGGGATTCGCTAGTGGCCGAGTTATCGAGTCCAGTGCAACGGCGTCCGCGGAGGCATCAGTTTCATCATCGGCCAGAAACATTGACTTACCGTATGGTAAACATTACCATTTAAAGGAAGGGAAGAAGACCAATGAACTTGTGGAAGAATCACTTAACGCACCTGTTTTGAAGATTGGCATCAATAATGGTGGGTTGGATGTTGCGAAAGGTGCAGCAATTATCCAATCGGCCTTATTTGACGCGTCAACTTACACGGACCAGCGGTCGCTTTTCGATCTTGGCTTAGGCGTAATTGCAAATCACGCCGAAATAATGTCAGAAGCACAAGCCGCTGTGAGCAATAATGCTGGCGCCAACGCCAATAATGCTGTCGCACAGACAATAGAGGCACTAGAGATAGCTGACAAAGCCGAATATTATGCTGCTATCCACACTAAGCAAGCGGCTAAAGCAGCTGAAGCCGCGATGGCTTCGGCTGCTCGTGCTTCTGCGGCTGCTGATGCCGCCAAAGTATCTTCCCAGGAATCAGCTGTGGAAGCCAGTAATGCCGCCGTCACTGAAGCCAAAGCCAATGCCGGGTCCATAATTGCTAACAAAGCAAATGCCGTAATGGCAGAAGCCGCTGCTGAGCTTGCAGCTGCAGCTGCTAAGACTAAAGAGTCTGCGGTGAAATCTCAAAATGCTGCCAGAGCTGCTGCAAAGGCGCAAGCTGAGGTTACTGAGGCTGGCGCCAACGCCTTGGTCGCTCTAGCTAAAGCTAAAGCTGCAGTAACTCGTGCAGCCGCTGACCAAGCCGTATGTACATCTCAGGCTCAGGCTGCCAGTCAAATTCAATCAAGAGCCTCCGCATCTGAATCTGCAGCGTCGGCCCAATCAGAGACCAACACCGCTGCCGCTGAAGCTGTTGCTATCGCAGATGCCGAAGCCGCTGATCAAGCTAAAACATGGGTCGAGTCGCTGAAACGCGATATGTGGCTTCGCTTCAATATGAAGGGAGATGCCAAGGCGGAAGCCAAAGCCGAAGTTATCACGGTTGGTCAAGGATATCATGATATCAAGAGGGCAGGCAGCTTCGCAGAAGCCAATGTTGAGACAAGCAGTAATATATCAATGGGTGGACGTCACGGACACAAAGACAGCGTTTCTGCTGCTCTAGCGGCCGCTTCTGCCGGCACCAGCAATGATGTTATGTGAAAACGTTACAACTTTCATTTCAAAAAGATGTTGCGGTGGCGGACGTAAAAATATTGGCTACACCAATATTGTAGGTTAGCACACAATTACACGGGCAAGAATAAAAAAAATCTTAAGCAGCGGTTTGATTCGAAAAATGTAAGAATAAAAATAAATTGTTATGTAGCAACTCTTAAACATGTTTCTTTTTTAAGTTTGTCCTCTTTCTTTTATTCATTAAAATCCACATCACCATAAACTTATTTAGATTGTACATGTTCTAAACCATTATAAATTTAAGAAATATTTCTTTACGCATATTATTATTATTTCATGTCAAAGTAGTAGTATCTAAATGTCAAGTCAAAGTATCTAAATTTATATTAAAGTTTTATATTATATTATTAAATTTGTATTAAAGTTTTATATTATATAGCGACTTATATTAAAGTTGATATACATATTAGTGCGACCCAAGCACGTCAAATTCTTGTCTCAATAATTTTATGAAAAGAAATATATTGTTTTATTTAAATTTTAAATCCAGTTTTTTTTCTTTCCGTTATAATACATATAATATTCTCAAAAATTATAGAGGAATAGTAATAAACTGTATTAAAACTATACATTCTCTGTGCTGTTTCGACTTACGTCCGGGAAATAAATAAATTATTATAAGAAGACGAAATGTTTATAATGTGAATGAAAAATACAATAAAGATCTACTTAGTATTATTATTATTTATTTTTAATTCACGCCTGTTAGTTTTAGATGACTTCTAGTTTTTATATTTACAAACATACTCTTGGTAAAAATAACGGACAGAAACAGACAGAAACAGACAGGATTCCTATCCATTTCTAAGTTGTCCATTCTATCTGCAAATACAACATGCAGGTAGAAAATCCGCACTTGCAGCAGTACATTCTATTTGTTTCTGTCCGTATCCTGTACGTAATCACATTTAAACTGCATTTGTCCGCAATTACGTACAGAAATTTTGTCGGTTTCTGTCTGTATCCTATACGCCGCGATTCCTATTTGCATTTGTCCGAAATTACGTACGGCAATCCTATCCGTTTCTGTCCGCATCCTGCACGTAATCACATTTCACCTGTATCTGTCCGCAATTACATATAGGAATCCTATCCGTTTCTGTTTGCATTTTATACGTCGCGATTCCTATTTGAATTTGCCCGCAATTACGTACAGCAATCCTATCCGTTTCTGTCCGCATTCTGCACATAATCACGTTTTATCTGTATCTGTCTGCAACTATGTATAAGAATCCTATCCGTTTCTGTCCACATCCTACACGCCGCGATTCTTATATGTATCTGTCCGCAATTACGTACAGGAATATCTAATGGAAAAACATTGCTGAAAATATAATGAAACTTGGTGGAAATATAATGAAATGTGCTGAAATTTTGCTGAAAAACTATCAATTGACTCATCTTCATCATGATTTCAGTAATATTCATTGAAAATCAGCGACATTTTAGTCAATTTTGGTAAGTATCAATAAAATTCAGTGGAAAATCATTAAAATTTAATATCAAGAGAAATAATATTGAGTATGTTTATCATTGTTATCTCATACAGCACAGTAATGTTGAATCAATGTTGAAAAAATGTTGAATTGCAACAATGTCAAAAAAATAATTATAAATTTAAAAAAGTACCTTAATTATTTTAGTGAAAATATTTATATTTATTGTAATAGACGTATACAACAAATATGGATATTTTCACTATATATTTATAAATATATATAAATAATTATGGTGCTTTTTTAAATTTGTAATTATTCTTTTAAAGATACCCATATATCTAATTAAAAAAAATATCTTTATAAATAATATGAAATTTCATATTTATTTTAATCTACATGCAAATATTACATATGTTAATTAACGATTGCTCTAGATGCAATATTGCTCTAAATGCAATATTAGATGCAAATTAACAATCGCATGAATGTATGTTGAAACATAGTGAAAAAGTCAGATTTCCATATGTTTCAGTAAAGTTCGATAATTTCAGTAATTCAGTAATTCCAGATTTTAGTAATTTTCATTGACATTTCAATGAAAGAGAGTTTATATCCTAATATATAGGAAAATAAAAAAATTAAATTGTATTTAACATGATCAATTATCAATTTAGCACGATTTCGTTATTTATTCAAAACTTTTTCACGAAGTTCTTCATTGATCAATAAATAAGGTGCATTAAGTACTTATTTACAATTCATTATAAAATATTATTGTTTTATCAAGGTTTAGCGCAATTCAGTAAAATTTGGAAATTATTGAGAAATGTTCTCACGAATTTTTTTCATCAATATTTCTGCAAAGATTCAATATAATTTATTCAGTTTTCACTGAAATTCAGTAAATTTCATAATATTAAATATTTTAAAATGTTTTCATTACTTTGTATCAATATTCATTTAAAATTCATTGTTTCGTCATACTTTTCATAACAATTCATAATAAAAATCATGATTTATCATGAAATATTTTCAGTAATTTTTCAATAATTTTCATTTCTTTTTGCAACGATTTCATTGTATTTTCAACGATTTCATTATATTTTCAGCAAATTTTTTTCATCAGGGATCCTATCCGTATCTGTCTGCATTCTAAACGTCGCGATTCCTATCTGCATCTGTCCGCAATTACATACAGCAATCCTATCTGTTTCTGTCTGCAAATATGGATATGCATCCTTTCCGTTTCTGTCTGCAAAAACAAAACCAGCTAGGATATCTGTCTGCACTTAAAGACGACCTGCTCTTCTATATCCATTTTTTACTGCTGATGTACATATGCTTCTATCCGTTTCTTTCTGTCGGTAGACGCATACATAGATATCAATCTGCTTCTGAAGGTTTATGATAGTGTAATTTCTTACCACAGTCAAAGCATCTATTAGACTAATCTCAAAAATATATGAATAGAACATGAGTCGAAACTTTTATCAGGTTGGCCAATACTCAGGTAGAACACAACCCAGACAGCACAAAACATTTATAAAATATTTATAAGATTTATAAGAAATATTTTATAAATATTTACCAAAATATTTCATAAATATTTTTATGACCTTAGCTTCAATAGATCATAAATATTATAAAAATATTTATTAAAATATATACATTTGTGTATTTTCTCCTCTTTTCTGAATTTTTCTTAAATTTTTAAAATATATATGTTCTTAGTTTTCACTTTATATTGTTTCACACGCTACTTAATTCAAGTTAAATTGTACTTCGAAAATTTGCTTACCATTGCCGAGATTCGAAAACCTGAGACCTCTGGTTTTTGAGTTGTTCACCTTACCTACTGCGCCACTGTCACTTTGACTGAGAAACGTTTTGTATTGTATACATATAGTATATCCGGGAAGGTCCCGTTTGCCTACAAATTAATTGCCTACAGTATCGATTGCTGACATTCAACTTATTCACATTTCATTTGCACACAAAAATTATTGCCTACAAGTTGTATTACACACAAATAAAAAATTAAAAGCCGAACGCTCGTTTGCACACACGATACTTGTGCACAAATCACATTGCATAATATTATTACCTACAGTATGATTGCCTACATGCTCTATTGCGCACAAATAAAAATTAAGAGACGAATGCACGTGTACGCACAAAAATTATTGCTTAAACTAAGATTGCTTACAAGTTCTATTGCGCACAAATGAAAAATTAAGAGACGGACGTACGTTTGCACACACCAAACTATTGCGCACAAGCCACATTGCGCACATAATATTATTGCCTACAGTACGTTTGCCAACAAGTTCTATCGCGCACAAATAAAAATTAAGAGACAAACGTACGTTTGCACACAAAAATTATTGCCTATAGTACGATTGCCTACAAGCTCTATTGCGCACAAATAAAAATTAAGAGACGAACGTACGTTTGTACACAAAAATTATTGTAATTAGTACGATTACCTACAAGCTCCATTACGCACAAATAAAAAATTAAAAGCCGAAGGCTCGTTTATATTTTAGTACATATATATCATTATATATATTTTAGTATCTATATATCATTTAAATCGTCGCTCTCTATTGCGAAGCTAGATATTAATATTTAAAATGATACATTGGTAGGGTTAGAAAATCTGTCACATGGATGTAATATATTGTAGATCCACAAAAACATGCACGTTACACCTACGTGGAATCCACGTGATTTCGTGGATTCCACGTGAACTCTACGTGGATTCGACGTACGTTTTTGTGGGGAGATGCTAAAACACCGTGTTGTATTAAAAAGTCTGTTAATTTGTTACAATCGTTGATTAAAAAATTGGTAATTATCCAGTTATACCGTCTATCTCTAGCTATGTAACTAAGGGTCTTCGCCCTCCAGACCCCCCGTATCACGGTGGGGTGGGAGCTACAGTCTTTTGTGGGAAATTCACTCTTTAGCTTAAGCACAAGAGACTATAGCCCCCACCCCCCGTGATACGGGGGCTCTGGGAGGCAAAGCCCCCCAGTCACGTAGCTAGAGATAGATGGTATGACAGATTTTCTAACCTAAGGTGCCCTTAACTTTGTCTGTTAATATCTCGTTTCGTAGTAGAGAGCGACGACTTTGTCAAAGGAAAAAGTTGTTTGGCATGCAAAAACGCATCAATTGAGCCTATTTTCATCGAAATCGGAGGTGTTGCCGCTAAACTAAGGCTGCGTTCCGTTTCACACATAATGCGCATAGACTGCATAGAGAACCGTTCCGTTTCACTCAATGCACGCATCAGTAGCGCAATAATAGCGCAGAGAATTCCCTAGATTCCCATCACTTCTCGCGCATTAACATGCATCAGCTGCATCAGCTCGAACGTGAAGCGTTTGATGCAGAGTTAATGCATGCGCGGAAAATACAAAGTTTTAGTATCTTTGAGATGTGTATTAAAATAAATAATGGAAAAAAATGAAGAATTAGTGGAATTTCCAGTTATTATTGACGGCAACAGTGAAATTATTACGCTCTTTCTAGAGAAAGAAACCGCTGCAAGAGCTAGTCAAGGTATTAAAACGTACAATCAATACACTTAGGGGAGGTTCTCATCTAGCGACCCAAAAATCGTACGATTTTCTCGAATTTTTTTTTCATGGAAGGATGTAAATAAAGAAGTCAATTTTTTTATATTCATTTAGTAGGTCTTAAAGTATGTAAA